TCCGTCTACCCACTGTGGCAGATGATGGCCCGTCCCTGGGTGGGAGCCATCTCAGATTATTGGCCCAAGTCCAGGGTGCCCTTTGGCCAGAGCTTCAAAGAAGGGAAAGCAGTAAGCAAAAACAGCGAACTTTTAGGAAGTCACTTTGGATAGTCCGGGGCTGAGGGGCAGTGGACCCATTGGCCAACCTCTGTCTAAACATTCTGTGACTGTCCCGGCGGAGCTCTGGACAGGTGCTTCGTGCCAGGTCCCTTCCAAGCTCTCTGGGCTGCCCAGCTGGGAATGGAGTGGGGATGCCTTTTTCCCCCTCTGTGGGGAAAGAGGGTCCCCTGCCCCCTGCCCTGGCCAGGCCTCTGCCGCTCCCCCTGCCCCTCTGTGGGCTCGGCCTCTGACTCGGTTCTCCCCTCTTCTCTTTCTTCCCGTAGGTTGTAGGCCTGGCTGCCTTGCATGCACTCGGGGCTTTCTTCCTCCTAATCGACCCGTGGCACCGTGACTTCTGCTCAAGCGCAAACTGAGATGCGGGCACTAACCCAGGGGATGCGATCTCTGCTGCTCCGAGCGTCTCTCCCGAGACTTCTTCTCTCGCTTTGTTTTTGAAACTGACCCCCACCCCTCTCCACGGCCTATGTGTGCCTGAGTAACCGCTGCCCACGAGGATCCCCTAACAGAATTGCCTCCCGGATGGGACTTCATTGTCTAACTCTTCTTCTGTGGGGCGGCACTGTTTGTGTTTGGGTGGTGCTGTCTCCCTACTAACACCTCAGCGAGATTCGTGCCCCCCTGAGCACCTCGGCCTCCCGCCGGCTGTACTGCTCCCACAGCGCAGCGGAGAGGTTTGGCTTGGCTGCTGAGCCGCAGAGATCTTGTCCAGCAAGGAGCGGGAGGATTTCAGAGCTGCCGAAGGCCAGGCCCCCCTGGAGGGCCGGGGGGTGGTGGACACCAAAAGTCCTGTTGCCGTGAAAGACACTAGCCTGCCAGGGCTTTGTCCTCAGCGGCGCGCTTAGGAAAGTTGTCCTAAAACAAAGTGGGGGGTGGGGGAGGGCTGTCGCCAGACGATTTCACTGATGAGAACGAAGCTTTTGCCCCCGGTCCCCACGATGTTAACTCCCTTTACATCCGCCCAGTGCGGACAGAAAGTACCAGACCCCAGGTCAGCGTTCATCAAGAGTGTGGCTGAGAGGCCACACACACTCGCTGTGCCGCTTACCAAATTCACATTCCTGGGGTCCCTCCCACAACTGAGCCCAGGTCTCCGGAGGTGGGCCCTGAGAATCTGCATTTCAGCTTGCTTCCCACATGGTCTCTGATGCCTGGGGACCTTGTCCGAAAGGAGTGTGGGATGTCCCTCTCGGTACTTGGGGACAGGTTTCTCTCTCCTCCCGCTTGTGCTCGGAGCAGAGCTCTGCTGGGCTGCAGGTGAGAAAGTAGTTCGGACAAGGCCACGGCAGTGGCTGGTGCTGAGGACTCGGAGACTAACGAGCCCACTGCCCCACCCCCACCCCCACCCCGGGAGGGTGTGTGGCCAAGTCTTAGCACCCCGGCCACGTGTGGCCAGGAGCAGCTCAGCCGAGGCTGTTGGCATGCAGTCACTCTCGCTTCTTGCTGGGGCCGGGTCCTCCGTGGAGCTTCTGACACTGACCTAGCTAACACCGCCCTACTTCTAATGGAGACCAGCGTGGCCATAACCCTTCTTTTTGTTCCTCTTCGCAGCATTAACAGCAGCAAAGTTGTACCCCGGTTCGAAAGGTTTGGCTTGGGCGTCCTGGAGCCCAGTAATCCAAAGATGTAGCCAACTTGTGCACTTTTTCTGCCGATTTCTTTCTCTCTTAAACGCGGTCCTGAAACATCCCAACAACCGCCAACGACGAAAACGAAAACCCTCTCCGAGACATCGGTCCACCCTCCCAAGTGCCGCAAACCAGGAACGCGACTCATCGATTCAGACCTTTCGTCCACGAAAACACCCGGGCTGGCAATGGAGCTGCACCTGCTGTTTGTCTTAAAGTGACATCACCAACAACCAGACCCGCCCTGACAGGCAGCAAACGTTTACACATACGTCTCTGTGGAGTGAGTGAACTCGCTGTTTTACAGCAGGTACTAAGAAAAAGTGCTCTGCAGAAGTGGGCTGGCACCACCTGCCAGGCTGGGGGAAGCGACCCCACCCCCCCTCCCCGGAGGCCCCTGTCGGCAGTGAGAAGGAAGAAAAGCACGGTGACTGTGGCTGTTCTCGGGGTAGGATGGGGACCACAAGGTTCGACCTGGACTCTGCTTTGGCCCTAAACCCCATCCGTGGGGAGTCTCCCTCTGTAGGGTTCTCCCCCGTCCTACCGGAAGGACACTGTCCCTTTTTCCTCTGGCAGAGGAAACCCTGGCTAGGAACCAAGCTGGATTATGAGGGTCGGGGGTTCCCAGCGAGCTGGGGTTCTCATTCAGCCCCAGGGATCCAGCTCCTACCTGCCAGAAAAGTAGAGACGGCTGAAACCCAAATAACATCTGGACTGACCCAGTGGTTGGTAGCCAGGGTTTGTACGGCCTGTAGAGAGCTTTTCTTCTCGCGGCTTCCAGGAAGGCAGACGCTAAGGAGCTAGGACTCATCCGTGTCCCTGGCTCACATGTGAGCGAAGAGGCTAAGAGCGAAGGCCCAGCCCCACGGCTGTGGACACCGTGAAGGCTTGATTGGTGAGAAGAAAGAAGGTAGGGGGAGAGAGAAGTGGCAGGCAGTAGGGTCCCTGAGCCCACCCTCCCAGCCACAGGGTGACCTGGCTCTTTGGGAGCCCGTCAGCAGTCATGCCAAGGTTCAGAACTGCCCCCCTCTTCTCCCCCAGCCCTTTTCGAAGTCCTTGCCACTCCTGAGTCTTCCACTGCCCGCGTCTGAGTTCTCGGCTGGGACGGGAGGCCCGTGCCCCCCACGCCTTTCATCTGGACCCACCCGGCCCCCAGTCTTCAGAGCCTTCCGTGAAGCGAGTCCGGGCCACTTGTGTACATTTGCGCCAGAAGGAGGGGCTTGACTGGGGAAAGTCGGTGACGTGAGAGCATCCTGTCTGTCTTCGTCAGAAGCCGTCACCTAAAGAGAAAAGTTCCAAACGGGAGAGAAGCCTTCAGTGGACGTTACGCCATGTTAGGCCCCAAACCAGAACTGACCAAGGGTGACGAGGGTGGAGACGTGGTTGGATTCAGACCCAGAAGCTGTGTCCATGCTCTGAGCCAAGATGGGGAGGTGTGGGGGCCACCCATCCCTTTCGTTTAGACTCCCCCAGCAAAGCTCCCAATCTTCAGAGCCTTCCCTGGAGTCTGGCCACAATGTCCTGGGAAGTGGGCCGCGGCCTCGAAGTCGTAGGGCCACCTTCCCGTCTCTGGGTCAGATGCCCCCCGGCCCGACCCACGCTCGCTTGGAGAGCGCAGCTGTGCAGCCGGGCAAGGTATCCAGGCTCCCGCCCCCCATGAGCGCCCCAGACCCGAGCTCCTTTACCTTCCTGGTCGGGGAAGACAGGAGCTGACACCCAGCTAGAGTCAGCCCCGGGTGGCTCTTCCCTCCTCCGTGAGACTGCTGGTCTCATCCTGTCATCCCTTGGCCTCCCCCGTGGGCGTCACGCCCGCAGGTCAGTTCAAGAAGCTTTCGTCGAATACCTACGGTGTCTTATGCAAGTTCAGGGACCCACGATGGGAGCCGTCACAGTCCCTGCCCTTAAGGAATTGACACTTTGCCACGAACCCTGAAGGAGATCCGAAGGCCTGGGGGACACCCCCTTCGTCTTCAGGGCCCTGGACGGCCCCCCAGCTCTTGGCCTAGCCTCTGTGCTGCCTCTCATTTGAAAAAAAAAAAAAAGAAAAAAAAACGTGGTCCCCTTCTCCTTCCGTCTCTTTAAGTGACTGTGAATTGAGGTTGGGAACACGTGCTTGCCCTTCTGTGTGCTCTCCCCGTCTGCCATGCAAACACACGAAGGACGGCAGATACTGTGAATTCAGCCCTCACGGCCAGCCGTGAAGGGGACGGAGAAGCTGGGAGGGCCTCCTTGGCGAGAGCTCTGGGGGCAGCGGAGTCCCCAGCGGGGTCTGAGAGTGGAGCCCAAGCTTTGGTCCTTCTTTACAGCGGGCCCCCAGTCCCCAACGTCCCCTCCCAAACCCTAGGGCCCATGTCCCCGCTGCCTTTATTCCCCCAAGCCGCAGTCCCTGGGTCTCCATCCAACTCGAGATCCCGAATCCCAGCAAGCTCCCCGTTAGTCGAGGGCAGTGTAGCGATGTTGACCTCTCTCGCGTCACCAAACCCGCGCAGGGCGCTGGAATCCTGCCCTGTCGTGGCCTTTCTTCTTGTGATCACAGGGGGCAGCTGTGCGCCCTGTAAGCCTGTATTGCCGTGGTTCTGTGTTGATTGGGGGGGGGGCGGGGTGGAAACACAAATGTGAAGCCATTTAGGGAGCTCGTACGATGCTGCAGTGTTAGCCAGGATTTCATCAGTGTGTGTAAAGCCAGCGTCTTCCGTGGCCACAGGCACACGCCTGCTTTTTTTTTGAATGTGATGTAAAATTTGTACAGTAAAAGTTTTTATATTTTCTATCAACCACATTTGTCTTCCAGAAATGCTATTAATTTAAATTAAAACGGTTAGTATTCATGAACGTGCTGTCAGCAGTTTTTTGCCGCTGGCAAGAATACATCCTTTGTGCCAGGCCAAGCCTGGGTGTCTGGAGTTTGTGAATAAAATTGTACCAAGGTGTCTGGGGCTCGTGTCTACTTGGGTCAGCTCCAGATGAGTGCGAGGGGCTGCTCAGATGGATGGCGAGGGGGAATAGGAATGGAGGGGGGGTCCAGGATGGTTGGACCCCTCTGGGAGCCCCTTCCGAACAAAGAAGTTACCCATGGACTTTGAAGACAGACGGAGTGGAGACAAAATGGCGTCAGAGCCCACGATGCCCAGAGGACAGTCATCCAGCCGGCAATAGCCACAGCTCGTGAGCAGACCCAGAGCCGCTCAGTGTCTCCTGGGCTGAGGGTGCCTGTGCCTCCTGGAAGCCATGCGGGGTGGGGAGCGGAGTGATCTCCTAACTGAATCTTATTTCTAGGAGCCTCTCTTGGCCGGTCATGGAGAGAGGTGCTTTGGAGGTTGGAGTAAGAACAGGCGGAGGAAAAAAGGAGCCAGCGTGAGGCGCCTGGGCGACTCAGTGGGTTGAGCGTTCGACTTCAGCTCAGGTCATGGTCTCGCGGTCTGTGAGTTCGAGCCCCGCGTCAGTCTCTGTGCTGACATTTCGGTGCCTGGAGCCTGCTTTGGATTCTGTGACTCCCTCTCTGCCCCTCCCTTGCTCGTTCTCTCTTCTCTCTCTCTCAAAAGTGAATAAACATTAAAAAAAAATTTTTTTTAAGAGGAGCCAGTATTCGTGAGGCCTCTCTGAGCCAGGGAGGTACTCTTCATGTATCCTCTTCCCTTAATCTAGCCCTCACAACACCACCACGAGGCGGGAATTGTGGTGTTTCAGCCGAGGAAACTGAGGCCCTGAGAGGTTAAACTACTCACCCAAGATGACACAGCTGGAAGGTGGCTCGTCCAGGACTCAGCCAACGGCTTTGACTCCAGAGTTTCCTCTCCGCAAAAGCCGAGGAACGTCCCAAGTCAGACATTTGCTGAGCACCTGTGCCCGGAAGATGGCGCCGAGTGCTGGAACACAGATAAAAAGGGGGTAGTGCCCTTGCGTTAAGAGGTCCCTCAGTCTGCCCGGCAGGCTTCATGGAGGAAGTGGCCTTGGAGCCGACTTGTAGGGTGAGTAATGTGTCTGGTGCATATAAACGAGAACAGGTCATTCTGCCCTGTAGGAACAGCACCTGCAAAGGCTCAGAGGTCTGGGAACACAGGATGTGCTTGGGAAATCACGAGTGTTCCAGCTGTTGTAAAGTGGAACCAGGGGAGTAGTTTGGAGCTGGAGGGATCCTGCAGGTGCCAAGCCAAGGAGTTTAGACTTTAACATGGCAGCCCTGGGGAGCCATTGAAGATTCTTGAGCAGGGGAGGGCTATAATTAGATTTATGTCTTAGATACATAGCACGGACTGGAGCGGGCCTAAAACTAGAGGCCAGGGGATCACGACCTGAGCTTTGATTGGATGTGGCGGAGAGGTGAGCGTCCAGGGTAACTCCGCAAACGTCTGCCCTCCTACTGATGGGGTTGTTCGCTGAGAAGGTGAGCCTGTAGATGAGGAGGGGGGAGAGGGTCATGCTTGGGGGCATCCAGGTGAGCACCGCATGGGCAGGGAGACCTTGCCTGGCAGCATGCCTTCAAGAAGAATTTGCTGTAGAAATGAATGGGTAAGGGTGGGAACAAGGAAAATTAAAAATGTGACCTTGTTCTGGAAGATCCAGTGGTAAAGCTGAGGGTCCCCAGTTCTGGAGACTTGGTTGGGGGGCTTGTTTCTAACTGCCCTACCCGGCATGTTTTCCTTAGCTGCTGGGTTTTTTAAATCTTTCTCCATAAGCCACATTTGTCCTTTTTTTCCTCCAAGTCACATTGGGAGATTTCTATTAACTCGAATTGATGTTATTAACTTTGCCAAGTCTTCAGTGAATATACCTTTATTTGATAGACGCCTACAGGTTCATACCACAGGATCATGAAGACTTTACATGTTTTCATGTAAATCATCGTTTTGTGATGAGTAAAACAATGTTCAAATAACAAGATACTTCACTGAAATTTTTTTTTTAATGTTTATTTATTTTTGAGAGAAACAGCACGTGAGCAGGGGAGGGGCATAGAGAGAGGGAGACACAGAATCCAAAGCAGGCGCCAGGCTCTGAGCTGTCAGCACAGAGCCCGACACGGGACTCGAACTCACAAACTGTGAGATCATGACCTGAGCCGAAGTCAGATGCTTAACCAACTGAGCCACCCAGGCGCCCCCACATCTGGCTGTTTCTTAAAGTCTCTGGCTCTTGCTTTGACACCTGGGGTCCCCTATAAGATGATGTTCCGCTCCATGGAAAGTACTATTTCATTCCACATTGTGTTCTTCCCCAGAGGTCCCCGGCTACAAAAGAGAACAGATTCATTGTTCCTCTCTGTTCAGCAGAGCAGCCTCCAGCCCCGGGTCCCTGCCACCCCTCTGGAATGAGTCCTGGGTGAGAAGGTGTTGACAGGACCCATAGCAGGACCTGAGGCTCTGGGCTTCTGACTTCGCAGGCACAGAAAAATACAGATCAGAAATGAAACCAGGAGACATGTTGTGGCAGAGCTCTCCTTGCCCCTGGGGGCACAGAACGCAGTCACGTGGGCCGATGTTCCCTGCAGCAGGGGTTGGGTCCCATGAACGGAAGCCCTAGGAAGAGGCATGTGAGAAGTGAGGCGGGTGGTGCGGTGGTTAGAGGCACAGGCTTCGGTGCGGCACTGCCTGGGCTGAATCCCCGCTGTGATACTTTCTGGCTGTGTGACCTTGAGCAAGTTGCTTCACCTCTCTGTGCCTTCGTTTCTTCCCACATAGACTAGACATAGTCAATTGCACCTACTTTGTAAAGCTGATGGAGAAGTAAATGTAAGGCACCCAGAATGGTTGCTTAGCATGTAATCAACGCTATAACAAGTGTTAACTGAAAAAGAATCTTGGGGCGCCTGGGTGTCTCAGTGGGTTAAGCATCTGACTCTTGGTTTCGGCTCAGGTCATGATCTCATGGTTGACGAGCCCCGGCATTGGGCTCGGCGCTGACAGCACAGAGCCGACTTGGGATTCTCTTTCTCCCTCTCCCTTTGCCCCTTTATGTGCACAGGCGTTCTCTCTCTCTCTCTCTCTCTCTCTCTCTCTCTCTCTCTCTAAATAAACTTAAAAAAAATCTCTGAGTACTCCCTCCTCTGGGCCCATCAAGTGCTCCCTGCACCCCAGGTCCCAGGAGGAACCCGGCACTTGTTTCTTGACTGTGGCAGTCATTGTATCTTCCAAGCATTTCCGGTCCCCAAGCTCTTCCAGAATCGCTGCTCCCCATCAGGAGGTGAGGTCTCACCCCTCTCCTTGAACCTGCCTCAACAACAGAATGTGGTAGAAATGGTGCAGCCTGACCCCTGAGGCTAGGTTATAAAAGGACACAGCTTCCACCCTCTGCTCCCCGCTCTGGGGCAGAGATGAGCTGCCCCCACCTGGCCCTGCTTGAGTTCAGCTTTGTGAGCCGGAGCAATGCTGTCATTCTTTTAAGCTGCTAAGTTTTCGGGTAATTTTATGCAGCCGTAGGTAAGCAGAACACGGGCTAGATGAACCCGGCGGCATCCGCTCAGCAGGCCTGGAGCGCGTGGCCAGCTACCCGGGTCATCCCTTCAACAGACACCAGAGTGGAGGGAGGGGCCGCTGGGGGCGGGGGGTGGGGGGTAGTTCGTAGACCAAGGAGCCCGGCTGACCTGTCTTTGGCTGTTCGTGTCATGTGCGGTGCTGGGCACTTCTCTGATTCTTCATCGATTATTCAGCACAGCAAGGGCTGCCGGGAGCTTGGCCAGAGATGACAGACGTAAAATCCCTGGCCCCGTGCCAGGCACATGGCAATTTGGCGTCGGTAAACACTGGCTCCTTTCCTGGGGAGCGTTCACGGTCGAGGAAGAGGGACTCTGCTCCTGAAAGGAGAGGAGAGAAGGAAGGAGGCAGAGGGAAGCCTTCCAGAGGAAGGGCGTAACCAGGCTTCATCTTCCTTTGGCAAGCGTCACTGGCTGGCACCCCAGCCGTTATCTGTCTTCCCAGCTGGTTTAGGAACCAAATCCGGAGGTGGGGTCCCCGAAAAGCTTGAACTTGAAGGCTCTTCTCTGCCTAGGCAATGGGTTTCCATGACTAGAGGTGTTTGCAACATTTGAGAGACCTAAGATGTATTTTTTAAAAAAACGTTGACTTCTTGAGCGCGAGAGAGCATGAGCAGGGGAGGGGCAGAGAGAGAGAGAGAGTCCCAAGCAGGCTCTGTGCTGACAGCAAAGCATGAGACTTGATCCCACGAACTGCGAGAACATGACCTGCACCGAAATCCAGAGTAGGTCGCTTAAGCTCCTGAGCCATCCAGTCGCCCCGTGAGAGCTAAGATGTATGAAGCAAACTGATTAACACTACTGTCTCCTTTCCCTCCGGCGTCCCCTCTATCATACTGCCTCTTGAGTCGGGTGGTATTGGAGAAGCCAATTTGGGGGTCGGGCTAAGAGAGAGTCGTTGAGTTGGGCATATGTTCACTCTAGGTTTAGTGGGATATATTTACGTGGGTCACAGCCACCTCCATTAATGATTCAGTTATTCCCGACTGTCCCAGTTTAGGAATGGCTTCTGGAACCCTCCTCCTGTCTGTTGTGCCAACTCCCCTGGGTCCAGGTACAAAGATGCGGGGCCAGAGGGCCAAAGGAACGTGTCCCGTGTTACCTGGTACCCAGAGTACACAGGCAGTGGAGAAAAAAACAGGCCGTTGGAAAGACACAATGATCTTTCTACTTCCTTTATGGAAAATATGTCAAATCTTCACACAAAGAAGCAAAGAATATGCGGCCAAAAAAGTAAAAGGCGTTATAGTGCCAGGAAAGTAATAAAAATATTATTTTTCTGGATTTTACGCTGCTTGGGGTATTCATTGCAATGACTCAAATGTTTGCGTCCCCCCAAAATTTGCATGACCACCTTCACCCGCTTTGCCCACCGAGAGTTTTTATTTATGGAAGTGGCGGTGGTTGCCATTTATGGTGATGACGTGAAATTTGCTTTTATTTATTTATTTTTTTTAATTTTTTTTTATTAACGTTTATTTATCTTTGAGACAGAGAGAGACAGAGCATGAACGGGGGAGGGTCAGAGAGAGGGAGACACAGAATCCGAAACAGGCTCCAGGCTCCGAGCTGTCAGCACAGAGCCCGACGCGGGGCTCGAACTCACGGACCGCGAGATCGTGACCTGAGCCGAAGTCGGCCGTTCAACCGACTGAGCCACCCGGGCGCCCCTGAAATTTGCTTTTAAGATAAAAGCATCCAGGGGCGCCCGGGTGGCTCAGTCGGTTGAGCATTCGACTCTTGATTTCGGCTCGGGTCACTATCTCACCATTCACGAGTTCAAGCCCCACGTCATGGTGGAGCTGGCTTGGGATTCTCTCTCTCCCCCACTCACACTCTTGTTCTCTCTCTCGAAATAAATAAGTAAACTTTAAAAAGGAGAGAGAAGAAAAGCCTAAGCTTATTTAAAGGAAATCGGGAGCGAAGACTAGTCCCAGGCTAATCATGCAAGAACTAAAGGCCGAGGCGGCCGTGTGTCTGATAACTGATAGGACGCCAGTCTGGAAGCTCACCTGGGTTCCCCACTGAGGAAGTGTGAGCAGGGACTCTGAGTGTGCTTGGTTCCACTCCTCAGCCCTGCCGCCCATGGGAAGGATGTCGGCACTCTGCAAGCTCGGCCCCGCGGCCACTTCCTCTCTGGCCTCACCACCCACAAGTAAGATGTGTGAACAAATAGATACGACTTAGGGAGCGCTTGCTCGGTGCCGGCGCCGGCCTAAGTGCCTTCCAAGCATTAGCTTGTTCAGCCCTCCCGACGACCTAATGAAAGAAGGCCCGTGATTCGCCCCACCTTACAGATGAGGAAACTGAGGCTCACAGAGCTCAAGTGACCTGCCTGGCCTCACTCAGCTGCTGTGCCCCCACTGAAAGCTGTACACGCTTCTTTCACAGCACAGTAGTGCGCTTAATAACTGGTACCCCCACCAACCCTAATGATCTACGAAGCACTGGAAGGAAAGGACGAGGTCCTCTCGGTCTGTGGTCCCCAGAGCCAAGTTCAGGGCTGGGCATGCAGCAAGTGCTCAGTAAATGCTCGTAAATAATTGCTCATCTGCACTTCTTCAAGGGGGTTTCACTTTCCTCTCTGGGCCCAGAGGTAGACTCACCAGCAGGGTCCCTCACTCGCGTGGACTGGGGCAGGGCCCTAGCCATGTGTGTGTTTGGTCATCTGTTTTGGTTAAGTAGGTTTTCCTTTCCTTCCCGTTCCCCCTCCCTCCCCTCCCTCCCCCCCCCCCCCCCCCCCCTCCCCCCCCTCCCCGCCCTCCCCTCCTTCCCCTCCCTCCCCTCCCTCCCCTCCTTCCCCTCCTTCCCCTCCCCCTAGGTTTATTCATTTTTCAGAGACAGAGGCAGAGCATGGGTGGGGGAGGGGCAGAGAGGGGGACAGAATCGGAAGCAGGCTCCAGGCTCTGAGCCGTCAGCACAGAGCCCGCCGCGGGGCTCGAACTCACAGACCGGACCGCAAGATTGTGTCCGCCGCTTAACTGACCGAGCCACCTAGGCGCCCCGTAGGTATCCATTTTCTTAAAGATGCCCCCCAGATTTGTAATTAGGGTCCCACAAGATCTGCATGAGGTGCCTGTTGAAAATGCAGATTTCCAGACTTACCTCTAAACTCCCCAAGCCCAGGCCCTGGGAGAGATTCCAGGCTCACCAAAGTCTGGGTATCACTATGCTAGATGTTTCCTGCCCCCCCCCCCCTCCGTTCCTTGCTGGCTGTATTTACTTTAGGGCTCCCAGGAGAGTCATTGTTCTGGAGTGGCCATACCCTCCTGTGTTTTTTAGAAAGCTGTGAATTCCAGTAAGTGGAAGTGCAATAGTTTCGATTCCTTCTTATCGAGACAAAGACCTTGGCTGCCAGTGAGAGTTCAGCTGGGGCAGAGGTGAAGGAGGCCAAGCCGGCAGTGGGGTGGGGGGTAAGCCTGCAACCCTGTCCTGACACCGTCCCTCCCCTGCCTCATGAAGGGGTCCTCTGTCCTTCCCCTTCCAAGCTAAGCCTACACGCTCGCCTCCCCACCATTCCTTCTAAATAAGTGTTCAACTTTGATTCCTGCCCTGGGAAGGAGTGACTCGGTCAGCAGCCCCTGTGGAGGAAGGTCAGGGCTGGGGTGAAGGTGGAACTCACACTGGGTGCCCTACAGACGCTCCAAGGAAGGCTGGCGCCCTGTCATTTGCCCTGTAGTAACCCCGGCACGAGAGCCCATTGGCGCCTCCGAGCCTTCACCGAGAAGAGACTAAGGAAAAAGGGGGAGCTGGAGGAGGGAGGGACTTCCCCAAGGCAGTGGGGGGACCTGTGGATGGAGGGTGTGGTCCACACAGCATAAAATGCCCAGGCAGTGGGAGAGGCAGCCAGCCCTGGAGGTGATCTCAACCAGGCTGTAAGATCATCGGAGGGGGACTTCGTACTGCATGGTCTCTTCTCGGGGATGCAGTAGCGCCCCCTTATCCGCAGTTTCGGTTACCCGCGGGCAACCGTGGGCCAGAAGCGTAGGATCCCCATTCTGGCGTGTTGTCAGGAGGTCAGGCATAGCCTAAGGCCATGTTCCTCACCTCCCTTCAGCTCCCTCGCAGGCATTTCATCCTCTGGAGTCACAAGGAGAAGGGCGAGTACAGGAAAATATTTTGAGAGAGAGAGGACCCACATTCACCTTTTATTATAGTATATTGTTGTAATTCTATTTTATTATTACTGTAATATTTCACTGTGTCGAATGTATCGATTCAGCTTTATGCGTACATATGTACAGGAAAAAAAGTACTATCTATACAGGCGTTGATAGACCTAAGACCTCGACCGTATCTTTGGGGTCCCGGGACATATCCCATGGCGAAAAGGGGGGGCATACTGTATATGATATCTTTCCTTTTAAAAAAAGTTACTCGTTTTATTTATTTAGATCCAAGCCAGTGAACGTATAGTGTGATGTATATCTTTCTGGCTGGCAGACAACAAACCTGTTGTTTGCTTTTTAAAATTTTTTTTTAAATTTTGAACTCCACAGGGTGTTGAGTTCCCCGGGCCTCTCTCAAGCTGTGTTTTGGAAATCAAGGTATACTTTGCACACAAGCGGAAAGTGTAGAAGGTGAAGTGTGTAGCTTGGTGAGTTTTGACAGGCACACACACCCAAGGAGTCCGTATCCTCTTGAGACAGAGAGCATTTCTATCACTCCAGAAAGATCCCTCCTGCCCCTTCCCAGTGGCAGCCACTGTTTGATCTCTTTCCTCGTAGGTTAGTTGGGTCTCGTCCAGAACTTCCTAGAAACGGAAGCATTCGGTGTGTACGTTTTGTGTCCGGCTTCTTTTCCTCGGCATGATATATTGGAGACTTACCTAAAATGTGTTTCTCAGTAGTTCCATTTTATTACTGTATTCTGCTGCGTGACGACAACGTGTTCATCTGTTTGCCTTTTGAGGGCTGCTTGGGCTATAAGATCCGTACACAGGTCGCGGTGCGGACATATGATTTTATTTACTGTGACTAAATCCCGAGGAGTGGAATTTCGAGGCCACAAAAGGGGTGTGTTTCACCTTGTGAGAAACTGTCAGAACGATTTCCAATGTGGCTTGCAGAAATTTGACTAGGATGTGTTTTACCAGGAACCTGTAATTGGGGGAGCTTGCAAAGTGGTCTTCTCTGTCTGCTGGCACAGTCTGTAGTCACCAAGGCGGGCAGTCAGGATGGGGACGGGGACGTGAAGGGGTGCGTGTGGAGCCAGAACGAGGTGTCACGCGAGAGAATGGGTGGAACCCATGAGGATACAGCCCACGCCATTCTGTCACTGCGTCCACGCCTCTGTCGTTGGTGATGAGCGCGTCCGGCAAGAGACGCGTGAGCCCTCCAGTCACGCATCTAAACGTGCCCCGGGAACAGAATTAGGAGCAGCTGGAGGAGGAGATACAGCGGTGCTGCACGCAGGCCCAGCTGCCAGCCCCACACCAGCAGGACAGCGAGCAGGTGAGTGACAACACGCTTGAGCCTTCCGGGCGTGGAAAGGGTATGGGTGAGATTTCAGTTCCTCCTTCCAAACTGCGTGTAAAACTCCTTTTGTGGCCCCCTCACATCCAGAACTCGCAAAAAAAAAAAGGGGGGGGGGGTTGGGGGAATTCAGGGAAACATAGTCCCAGCTTAACTAAGAGGTCCCAATAAAAATATTCCACTCCATGAAGGGAATTAAGAGTACATTTACTGTGGGGTGTCCAGGTGGCTCAGTCAGTTGAGCATCTGTCTTCGGCTCAGGTCATGATCCCACAGCTCGGGAGTTCGAGCCCCGTGTCGGGCTCTCCACTGTCAGCTGTCAGCGTAGAGCCCTCTTCGGATCCTCTGTCCCCCTCTCGGCCCCTCCCCTGCTCACTTTCTTTGTCTTTCTCAAAATAAATACGCTTAAAAATTTTTTCTTAAGAGTGCATTTACCGTAATGGGCACCCAGAAATGTATAGGGTTGTTGAATCACTATATTGTACACCTGAAACTAATAGAACACTGTATGTTAATTATACTGGAATTTAAAAAAAAAATACACTACTCCAGGTCTTGCTTTTTTAAAAAATTTATTTGTTTTGAGAGAAAGTGTGCACAAGCCCGTGCATGAGTGGGGGAAGGGCTGTCAGCACAGAGCCCAGCGCGGGGCTCTATCCCTGTGCCGTGTGATCATGACCTGAGCCGAAATCAAGGGTCAAACATTTAACCGGCTGAACCACCCAGGTGACCCTAGGTCTTGCTTTTTTTTTTTTTTTTAATGTTTATTTATTTTTGAGAGAGAGAGAGGGAGAGACGTGGAGCCTGAGTGGGGGAGGGGCAGAGAGAGGGAGACACAGAATCGGAAGCAGGCTCCAGACTCTGAGCTGTCGGCACAGAGCCCGACACGGGGCTGGAACCCACAAAGCATGAGATCATGACTTGAGCTAGTCAGATGCCTTAACCTACTGAGCCACCCAGGTATCCCTATTTACACACATTTTTAATCCCTTTATCCACCGATAGACACTTGGGTTGTTCCCATTTCTTGGCTGTGATAAATAATGCTGCTATAAGCTAATGTTGGGTCATGGGGTAATTCTATGGTTCGTTTTTTTGTTTGTTTGTTTATTTATTTTTGAGAGACAGAGAGAGGGGGAGACACAGAATCCGAAGCAGGCTTCAGGCTCCGAGCTGTCAGCACAGAGCCCAACACGGAGCTTGAACCCCACAAACCACGAGATCGTGACCTGAGCCGAAGTCAGACTCTTAACCGACTGAGCCACCCAGACGCCCCTGTGGTTAGCTTTTAAGGAACCACCAAACTGTTGTGTCACGTGGGTCTCAACCTATTGATAGAGTGATGCTGTGGGCTAGAAATGGCTGGCCGCTCACCTGACCCCATACCGCTTGGGTGAGCATCCCCCAGATGTTTCCCCATTAGAGTGGTTGTGGTGGCTGAACCAGCCTTTCTGCTTCTTAAATGACTGCAAGATGCACCTCAGCACCAACCCTCAGGGAACTTAGAAAACCCAAGGTCTCTGACTCACAAGTCCTGGAGGGTCCACGGCACACGAGGGCCACTCGGGGAGGCTGTAGGGAGAGAAAGCGAGCGAGCATGAGCACAGATGTGGAGTCCTGCCTTTATTGGGATCTAATGGGGGGTTGTTGGAAGGGAATGAATGGGGGTGCAGTATGGAAAAGCAGGCTCGCTCAGGGGTTGTCGAGGTTTCCCCAAGGCTTTCTAAAAGGGGAACTTCATGAATGCGGGCCACCTGGGTGCTAGAAGCTAGAAGCTGTCCCATAGCTGTTGATGCCTTTACTCGAGGCGGACGTCTTTGAAATGGACACCTCGGCAGTCAGACGCTTAAGGTCAGGCACTTTTCCTTAGCGGCCTCACCATTTCACATGCTTGCCAGCCGGGCCCCAGGCTCCTTCATCCTCATCTGCCTCAGCACCTGTCATCTCCTGGTGCTTTGATAGTGGCCATCCTTATGGGTGGGAGACGGCAGACGCCTATTTTGAACAGATCCTTTGGTCTACAGTGCAGGGAACGGAGAGCCTCGGACGAGCATCCAGGACCTTGAACAACAGAGCTCTGAAGGAACGTTCCCAAGGGCTGCCTCTTGCCACCTGGGAATGGGTGGCAGGCACCGCGCGGTGACGTGGAGCTGCCAAGGTCGACTGGGACCTGGCACAGTCTTAATTTTTTTTTTAATGTTTATTTAGTTTTGAGAGAGAGACAGAGAGCAAGTGGGGGAGGGACAGAGAGATGAGGGAGACACAGAATCCGAAACAGGCTCCAGGCTCCAAGCTGTCGGCACAGAGCCCAACGCGGGGCTCGAAGTCACAGACCGCGAGATCGTGACCTGAGCCCAAGTCGGACCCTCAACCGACCGAGCCACCCAGGCGCCCCACAGCACATCTGATTTCTTGCACTCAACCACGAGGTTCGCTGACGTAGTTCCTTTTTTTTTTTTTTTTTTTTGGCAGTAGGCTAGTCCATTGTATGAATGCATTTTTCCTTTTTGCTGTTGGTGAACCATTGTGTGGTTTCCAGTTTGGGGCTGGGAGGAACAAAGCTGTCATGAACGCATGCATGTGCTTTCATTTCTTTCAGGTAAATTTCTAGGAGTAGACTAACCGGGACACGGGAGAGGCAGATGTTTGACTTTATTACAGTCCATCAAGGAGTTTTCCAAAGTTGTATTCTTTCATATTCCAATCTGCAGTGAATATTCCAACCTAACATCCAGTTGTTCCATAGCCAATCAATGATGAAATTCTCCTGGTGTCACCGAAAGGATCCCAGAGACCTTCCCTTCCTTTCCTGCTCCTCCTTTCTGCTCCAACTATTGTCTGCCCCTTATATTTGGTCATATTCTGATTGATCCAGGAATATAATGG